TAGGGGGCTTGGGGGTAAGGGGTGTATAGGGGTTGTGGGGAAAGGAGGGTATAGATATCTATAAGGGTTGTGGGGGGAGGGAAGCGTGTAGGGGGCATGGGGGTGCATAGGGGGGCTATAGGGCATTTGGGGACAGGGCTCTGAGAAGAAGGTGTATGGAGGTGTGTGGGTGCAGGTGTATAAGGGTGTGTGGGGACAGGAGGGCATAGTGGGTATAGGGCGGGCATGGGGAAGGGGGGCATAAGGGGTCTATAGGGCATGTGGGGACAGGGTTGCATGGAGGGGATGTATAGACGGTGTCTGGAAGTGGGGGGCATCTATAGGGTGTGTAGGGGCAGGGCTGTGAGAAGGGAATGTATAGGGTGTGCGTGGGAGCAGGGGGGTCTATAGGATGTGTGGGGCCATAGGGACAGGGCAGGCCAGGTGGGGGGGAGCGACGGACATCGCGTGAGGCAGCCGAGCCCAGAGAGGCAGCTATAAATACACATGTATATAAATATATATATATATATATGTGTATAGGGGGGATGACAGCGAGGAGGGGGAGGCAGGCGACGCCGCGGGGTGGGCTGGGGCCGCGAATCCCCTCGTTGTGGCGGCCGCCTTGGCTCACGGTGCCGCTCTGCTCTTCCCCCTCTTCCCTCCCTGCGCTCCGCCACCCCCTTCCTCCCTTCCAACACAGATCCTCCGCCTCCTCCTCCTCCTCGCCGCTCGGCGCCTGGTCCTGGCGCGGCTGCCGAACGGTCCCGCTCGACTCCTTCCGAACTAAATGCCTCTGTGACAGACTCGCCACCTTCGCCATCTTAGCCCAGCTCAGCCCAGACATGGTAAGTCCTGCCAATAACATGCAAAAAAAATATATATATATATATATGCATATATGTAAAAGCCAAGAAAGGAGCTATTGGGATTTTTGGAAAGAAGAAACCCAAATAGAGCTGCTTTTTGGAAAATATTTTTATTTCGCGTGACATTCGGGTGAGGGGCCAGCGGTGGGCACGGCTGCGGGTCCCCGCGTGTGGCGGCCTCCGCGCACCGCGGCAGTGACCTAAAAAAAAAAAAGGAAAAACAGACAAAAAAACCATCCGGGCATGGAAAACCCCCTGCTGCATTGAAATGTCACCGGCACCGTGAAAGCTGGATGCCTTCCCGCTTCCTCCGGACCCCCCGCTGCGCCTTTTCTTTTCTCCGTGCCCCTCGCTGCCGCCCTTTTCCTCTTTTCCACCCCCATTTTCCACCCCCTGTCCTCGCTTGAGGTGGGACCGTGGGATGCGCTGGGGTTGCTGCTGCATCCGTGCTGCCCGTCGGCTCGGTGCACACCCCCCTTGCTCCTTCCCTGCGCTGTGCGTTTGAATACGAACGCCGCTAAAAGAGCGATGATGATGGTGATGATGATGATGGGGGGGGCTGACTGGCACATCCAGGCGCTTTAGCCGCTTTCGGGTCCCCACGGCCGAATTGCTGCACGTGTCTCTTGTTGGTGAACGTCTCCCCCGGGCCGCGCTCCTGCAGCTGGGGCTTTTCCAAGCCTCTCTGGTGGCTCCAGGACTTGGGAAGAAGCGCCCCGTGCACTAGTAGGGTAGGGAAGAGTCAGAGGGACGCCCCTGAAGTTTCTGCAGCTTTGTGCAAAAGGGAAAAAAAAAGGAAAAAAAAAAAAAAAAGAAAAAAGGAGGAAGTTGGTGCTGTTGCTCGGACAGAGCTGCTGGAAAAGTGAAGGATTCCTAGAAATTACCGGCGCCGCGGAGCTGCTACACCCTGACTCAGAGTGCAGAGTGGGTGCCAGGGCACCAAAGTTGGTGCCAGGGCAGTTCGAGGGGGCTCATCACTTCCTTCTTTTTGTTTTATTTTTTTTTTTTTTTCTTTTTTTTGTTAAGTAGTTTATCCCTTTTCTGGACAGTTCCCACATTTGTATCACAAAGGCCCCCCTACCTCTGTTGCGCTCCGTGTGATGCTCTTCCATCTGCTTGGGCACTGGGAGCTATGGGGCCCATCCAGTTATTTACTAATTATGCCTTGCTTGTTAAACTCTGGCTTAATTCAGCAAAAGGGGAGGGGAAAGGAAGAAAGGAGGGTGGTGGCGGTAAAAGAAGCGGGGGGGAATCACATTTTACAAGATGAAGGTTCAGTTTATTATTAGAAACACTAATGTATTTGGTCCACTAGTTACCATGGAAACAACATCTGCACTGAAGTGGTTTTAAAGATACAGTGTTGGTTGTGTTTGCCTAGGCCCTGTTCAGGCCCAGCCATGAAAACCACTTTGAAACAGGCTCTGGAGCCTGTTCTCTTCCCTGAGCAGCTCTCTGGGTCCTCTCGAAGGAGGCACCAGGTTTCTAATCTTGCCAGACATGCGGTGAGTGAAGGGAGCTTGAGAGCAGGACAAGGAGCAGGTGCCCCCTTGGAAGGGGCTCAGGAGGAGAGGGTCAGGTTGGTGGGGATGTCCCTGCCCTGCTGTTTCTTTTGGCTCTGGAAGTTGTGATGACCATTTTTTGGTAAATTCTGAATTCAGTAGAAATACTGACAAGTGAGAGCCTGAAATAAGCTATCCTGGGTGTACAGGTGAGCTGTTGGTGAAGGTCCACTGCTGATTTTCTTCTGCAGGTGGACAGAGGGCCAGGTGCTGTGGGAAGAGAGAAGGGAGCCTTTGACTTGATTAAAGCAGAAGTTCCTGCAAACGAGGCCTAAATCTTTATGCTCTATTCTTGCTGTTATTTAACTAAGCAGCTAAAAACAGAAAAAGATTAATTTCACATGAGCACATAGGTGTTTAAACTCTTATCTGGGTGAAACTGTGTTATCGGAAGCCTTTTATGATCAGTGCAAGTATTTTCACATTTGCGGGTGAACTTGGCTGCAGGAGGATGCAGCTTATATTCCCCAGGCATGTTTTATTATATCTGCAACTAACCTCTCAGCTGGTCCTTTGGGCTTAGGTCTAAAATTATTTCCTCCCTACTTCTTCCTGGCTCTGCTGATTGCTGTTCAGGTCGCGATTTCAGAACTCATTTTTTATTTTTTCTCAGGCCAGAGATAAGAGCATAAGACCAAGGTCCCCTGTCCAAGGTGGGTGGAAATTTGGGGCCTGGGGCTACTTCATGAGTTTGCTGCTAAGTAAAACTGAGGGTTTGTGGTGCTGAGGAGCATTTCTCACGGAGGTCCAGGCTCGGTTTCCTAACTGAGTGTCACTGGGAGGAAGCCCATGCCGCCTGCCTTCCCCCGAGTGGCTCCTCATCAGTGTTGGTGTCTGTGGTGGTGACATTTATAGTGCAGTTTTTCATGTGCCTTTGGAGCTCTCGGGACAGGAAGCTCTGTCTGCTTGTGTCATTAATGTTATTTATTGCTAGAAATCTCTCTTCTGGAGTCTTTGGCCCTGGCAGTTTGAAATATTTGTAACCTGAGTATAGGCATAGCTTCTTTGCAGCGAAATGGTCCTGAAAAGGCTTGTGAGACTTGTGGGTCATTGCTACCCAGCTGACTGATTCGTACTTGCCAAGGGCTTTACATCTGTGCACGGGACAGTTTCCCAGGCAAGACGCTGATGTTGCTCCTGTGGAAGCAAAGGGATCAGTTTTCCATTTGTTTTTGGAGGAAGCAGAAGCTGCCACTCATGGAAGTGGTGCGTTTGGAAAACAGGTGTTCCCAAAGCTGTGATGGAGCTATCCAGATCCAGCGCAAAATGCAGACTTTGGGCTTGGCCCTGCTCTTTCTCTGTATCTGAATTCCTTTATATTCCTTCCTGCTTCAGCAGGAGTGATACTTGACTACCATTAAAGACCAAATACCCTTTAATGAAAGAGGACAGATAAGATTTTGGAGGCCAGGGGATCTCTTTGCATTCTGTCTTTATACTATACCTAACATCGTAGGATGACAGTACTGACATGCTGTATATTACACCTGTGTAACAGTAGTACTAATGCTAAAGGGATGGGAGAGAATAACGACAAAAGTAATTTGCACGGCTGTGCACATGTACTCCTAACTTTCCAAACTGTGCTTAGTCTGATTAAGTTGTCTTGTGACAGAATTTTTAATTTGATAAGTGATGTCAATTTGTCAATTTGTCAATTTGATAGTGATGGTTAGGAAAGAGAAATGGAGCATTAGGATTTGCGGGGGGGGGGGGGTGTCTCACTATTTGGTTGTGTTATTTGAGCTTGGCTTTTGTCCCTCCTCCCTGCGAGCTCATGATTGGCCTCTGTGAAGTCTACTAAACTTTAAAGCTTAAATTGTACTGTACTGAGGACCGTAGTAAGACTGCACACTCAGAGACTTCCTTTCTAGCCTAATTCACAGAGGAAAAACTGATCAGATGAGGGAGTCTGAGCTCTGCTCTTTGTACTAGGAAAGGATGAAAGGTCTTGCTGGCAAAAACTTGCGTAGTTGTTGAGTTTGCTTTGCCCATACTGAATTTTTGGAATATCTTCTCTCCAGGATTGCATTTAGCAACATGCAGATGATTTGCTGGAAGGACTTCGCAGCACCTGTGTATTTTTATGGGCTATATTGTTTGTAAGTAGTAGCCCCAACTACAGAATTAGGCTGACAACATAGATGAGTGTAAGGAGTGAGCTGCCCATAACCTAGTATATCCCAAGTAGCTGCAACTGCCTTTGTTGCAACTTTGTCTTTGTTCATCGTTAGTTCCATGTTTGCGTGAGTACAAGTATTGATATGCTTCCTACCTAAAGGGACAACATGTTCTGAGCTCCTTTCTCAACTCACAACATTTACTTTTCCTCCTGAAAACATCCAAACATTGTCTGTGCAGCAGAGAAGAAAAAATCCTCTTTACCCTGGGGAAATAACAAAGCACGAATTGTAGACTTTCAGTTTACATCTTGACTAGTTTGGAAAGGTTGCTCTAAATAGGCTGTGGGATGGAGATCGACATGCAGGTTTGACGTGATGTTGCTATATCTTGGAAATCTTCCTTGTGAAAAGATTTCCCTGTGTTATGGGAGTTCTGTGTGCTTCAGGAAAAGCACACAGATGCAAGATGGGCTATTTTAAGGTCCTAGAAGCCGTTTGTAGTGCCTCGCTCACAGATTGAGTGGATCCAAGTTTTCCAGCAGAATGCTGGAAAATGTTGATCTTACTGAATCAAAATGTTTTGTAAAAATTTAGCAGTTCTGACAATATTTCTGACGGCGAGTGATAGCAGTGATTCACTCAGATAAGACTGAAGCACTTCATTTGGAGATTAGCATTTAGCTTCTATATTCTGTCATCATTTATTACCTAAGTTTTGGAGTATGGGTGAAAATGAAGCATTTTGCATACACTGACAACAGTCTCTTCTTAGGTTTACAGTAGTTTGGAGGCTTCAATAATAGAAATTCAGTGTCTCCTGAAAATGCAACTCTTAGACTTGAAGTTGGACTTTTTCCGATGAAGGGAAGTTCTTAGCTTTTACTGGCTTTCTTACTTCAGGCCTCAAAGCCCTGCCAATTTCCAAAGAGGCTGTAATGAACAGTTTATTAGACCAGTGCATCTGGGTGCATTGGCTAAACCACAGGGCTGAGAGCTGTTCCTGTGCCTGCAAATTAAACTCTCTTTGACCTTGGGCTAATCACTTCATTGCTTTCCCCTTCCGTTTCCCCAGCTGCAGCACCCTTCCAGGTGACATCCCAGGCTGTGCTCATCTGTGTTTGTACGTTGCCCTGGCTCTGAAGAGTTCTACAGGCAGGCCCAAGTGCTGTCATCTTCCTAAAAGAGCATTAGGCACCTCCGCTTGTTCACTTAGTAAGAGCAATGCCATAGCGAACATTGCTGAGCTGCAAACATTTGGGATTTTGCGTTGCAGATTGTGTGCAAACCTCTTGTG